TGCTGACTCCCATCACGGTCGTGCACTTGGGCCCAGCTGGCATAAGGTGGTGCCTCTGCCAGTCCCCAGAGGCACTGGCTGGTGCAGCACAAAGTGCAGGGAGCAGCAGGTAACTGCCCCACCGCGAGTTCTGGCAGCAGCAGTGACCCATTTCGGATGAGAGAACAGCAATTGCATTGTTTGTGAACGTGGTTCCCAATCAGAGCAAAGGTGCTGGTGCAGCCTGGGCAGAGAGGAAACCAGCAATTAAAATAGATGTGGTACTTGGGGGCATGGTTTAGTGGTGGGCTTGGCAGTGCTGTGTTAAAGGTTGGACTGGATGATCTTAAAAGTCTTTTCCAACGAAACAATTCTGTGATTCTGTGAATTATTGGGATTTCACTTGAAACTATGTAAGAAAACTGGAAAAAGCTGAAGCAGTAGGGACTGTGCCTCAGTCAGTCCCACTGCCAGAGGGTCCATCAGAGAAAGGGGCAGATTCTGGGTCAGAAGTCAAGAAGCAGCAATAGATCTGCATCTGCCCACCTGGGCAGCTCGACTCAGCTGCAAGAACAAGCTGAATGCTGAGACAGCCTTGTGCATCCTCAGTTTCCAGAGAACCTGCTCTGGCCACTACGTAAGTGTTGGTGGGAAGGGACGGGCTCTGATCCATCGTCCTTCTTGGAGACAGATTGTCCCCAACACTAGGTCAAGTCAGCCATGGCTTTGCCTGCCTGTCCTAGTCCTGAACCCTGCCAGGAGGGCACTCCTCTCTCTCCTCGTGCTGCTCAGCCCCCTGTGCTGCTGAAGCCAATTCTCCAAGCAGAGGATGGTGGTAGGAGTGCTCTGGCAATACCTCAGTGTGGGAGATGCTCTGGGGCATGTGATAAAAGTCCCAGCCCACCCAGACTGTCTGCTGAGCACTGGTCTCAAAGCGCCCTCAGAGACTGAAGCAGATGGTCAGACCTGCCTACTCCTGGGGTGGAGAGAAGATTTGAACATGTCTTTTCTGTGCATCACTAGGCCAGGCAAGGCTGAAGCTGTCCTCTTAGCTTCCTAAAGCTCTGAGTCCAGGTCCTAGAGAGGAAGATGACTCATGACTGCAAGTCACAGGCAGTGCTCAGAGCTTGGGTCACCAGAGGCAGCTGTGACTGACAGCAGGAGGTCTTGTGTCCACCAATGACACAGTCCCACTGCAGAGCACATTTCTGAAAACTGTTTTCAGTTAAGGGACTTGGTGCTGGCATAGAAGGGAGGAGCAGTGTTTTCTAACAGAAGAAGTTCACGAACAAAATCACTGGAATAGGTCCGACATGTCTCACATCATCCAGGGAGGATTTCTCATCATGGGGTACCACAGGAGGGAGCAGGGTTGCTGAAAGAAAGGCTTTCTCTCAGCTGGTGGCAGCTGGTGGTGTCAGCACAGCTTGGTACCACAGGACCAATGTGTTTGGCTGCCCTCTGGCTGGTACAGCCATTCAAGCTGGTGCAGGCAGGCAACAAGGATGTTGGGGGTGGGGGGCCAAGATTGTCTCTTCAGTGCTCCAGCCGCCACTTTTGTATCATAAATGTCCTTCTAGAGTGTTACCCAAAGCAATTCTCTTGAAAACTAATAATATTCATGAAAAATTAATTCCCGTACATCGAGGGTGGTGACACTCAGAGCTCAGGACTCCAGCAAAGGAAGAGGACAGAAATGCAGCTGGTGAGACACAACCTCAACAGATTCCAAGGAAAGAAGCAGCTAAGTGGTGGTGGTTTGTATGGTGCCAGGGGCTCCTCCAACCCTGTTTTTAAGCACTGTTGGTTGTAAGGGAAAGGTGCAAACCCTGAGCTGGCATCTGCCAAGCTGCAACACTGCCTCAGAGGCTGCTTTCCCTCTTGCTGCGGGGATGTTCAGCATTATTGTCTGACACTGTCTGCTACATTTCTTCAGATAGTTTGTAACAGGCTTTGGAAGTTCACAGAGATATTTATGGGAGTCAAGTTATGTGTCCATGCATAAGGACACACAGATTTGGGTGAATATTTGATGGCTGAAATAACTGTTTCAATGGTCGACCTTGTGCTGCTCCTGGAAATGGCCAGCACTTGCACTCGCCTGCCCTCACATTTTTTGACAGCATGCCCTGAACAAACAAGGCTGGATAAACTTTTCCTCCTTGCTCTGTGGCTTAAGAATGGGCCAAACTTAAGGAAGTTTGTAAGCTCAGCATGGTCCACAATGAACTCTGTGCCTCGGGGAGGTTGCATGACCTGCCAGGGAAGAGCTCAGCTCCCACACTCAGAGCAGTGAGTGGCATTGCTGGGTCACAGCCTTTTTGCCTGTCAGCATGAAAACCAAATTGGAGACTTTTTCTCCTTGCACAAAATTATCATTAAATAGTCCCTGATCCCCTCTGTGATGGTCTGTCTGCAGTGCTCAGTGCAGGAGGCAAAGGAGAGGCTGTCAGCTGGAGCATGGGCCATCTGCAGCAGGCTGGGATATCCTGGACTGCGCCTGGCTCTCTGGAAGGCCATGGGATCTGGGAAATCTGTGTTCCCAAGTGCTGCTCCTGCAGACAAGTAGAGGGAGACCTATGGCAGTGAAACATACATGTTTTCAAAACTTCTTGAATCACGGCAGATGATGAATCTTATACCCACTACACTGGAAATCATCGTCACCTTCCAAGATATGCTCCAAGGGATTTGTGCCATCTCCTTTTTATCCTCACTGGCCTGGCTGACAGCTGACTGCTCCCCGAGAATGGCAAATTATTTGTTTGCTAGGAAGGGCTATGAAATAATCAGAAGCAGCAGGGAATGTGGTTCTTGAATACACAGTTATCTGATTGTTAGAATCCCTCTGCCCATGTGGATGTGGAACAACCCTTGGTCTGGCCGTGTCGGAAGTTGCAGTGAAACGGTGCAAATAATTTGGCACATGTGGGAGCTGTGATGGGAAGTGACAGAGCATCCTCACTTGGGATATTTTACAGCTAGATGGGGAGGCTGCTGTGTCCTTGGCAGGGTGGTGTATGTGACTCCAGAAGGCTTTGCTGTCTCTGATCCCCGTTGGTGATGTGATGTTGTGTGTAAATTGCCTCAGTTGAAGGCAAGGGGCTCTAATGCCCAGGACACTGGACCAGGACTAGGAGAGCAGAGAACCATTCTTGGGTGAGCAACAAATCTGTTTTTATTCTTGGGCAGTCTCTGACCTCCCTTAGCTCACCTATTCCGTAAAGATCCATCTCTTCCTCTGGGAAAGGGCCAAGTTCTTGCACAGCTCTTCAGCGTTGTAAGCAGTCACAGAGAAGGTTCTGCACACAGGAACTGGGGTACAGCTCACCCCGTGTAAGATACCTGCCACAAGCTGGTTACCTTTTAACTGCCTCTACAGTCCAGAAGAAAGGATGGGCATTCCCAAGGCATGGACTGTGTTGTTTGGTTTTGAGGGCCCTTGAGGTGTTTGACTTCTGCAAAGGGGGTGCAGATAACGGAGTCCAGTGTAGGTACCAGAGTGTGAGGGTCTGGATCTGTGTCCATGGGCAGAACCAGCACCGACTGGGGGTGGTTCCATGGGGCAATGGAGGGCTACAGACTCTCCTGGCAGCAAGGTTTGCCAGTGACTTAGAGCCACCAGCTTCACCCTGGCCTAAGCAGAGCAGCACACACACAGACTTTACCAAATACTGAAGGCTACATTTTTCCCTCACAGCAAGAATCTACCTTTGGTGTCCTAAGAAGTGCTGGAATTTGACAGGAGATCATTGTCCCACACGAGGCTTTCACTGAACATTGCTTTGAATGTGAGATATGGTTTGTACAGAAGAAGTGGAAAAGTCACAAGAAATGGCATCTCAGGGAGCCTCATGCTCTGGGCACTGCTCTGGAAGGGATTATTATTGAGCTCCATCCCATGTCCCAGGGAAGCTGTGTTGGTGACATGAGCTGTTGGCAGAGCTCAGCAGGTTGCTCCTAAGGACAAAAAGGCTGTTCTTGCCTTTCTTCTCCTTCCAACGCTGGGTCATTCCAGGCAGCTGAGGGGAGGCAGTCTGGGGCTGTGCTGGTGGGCAGGGGATGTGTGTGCAGTTGTTTTGTGACTGCTGGAAGGTGTATGTCCTCATGGCAAGCTGTACTGAGCTTCCAGCAGGAAAGAATGGAAGTAAGTTTTATGTTCTACCTTGTGATACAGGTATCTTCTTGAAGACAAATTTGCAAAACCAAAGGTGTAGAAGTCAAAGTCAAAGTCCAGGCATGGCTACCTGAGAGATGGGATGAACTAACCTGTGCAGCCCTGGGCCATGCAGAGGTTTGCAGCCTTGCATGAGGCAGGCAGCAGGTGTGTGGTGGGCTGTGATTACATAATGCAGATATTGAGAGGTGCTTCTGTGTTGGGTGCCTGATTGATGCTCTGTAGCTCAGGCCATGGCACTCGCTGGGTCATTCCCATCTGTCAGCGCATTGCTCCCACACAGGAGTTATATGGGAGATTTGAGGTCCTTGGAGCAGTGCGTTCACAGAGGTGGCACTATTTGCTTCTCACCACATTATGTGCATCCCCTTGGTACAGTAAGCATATCTGCATCGCCCTTGCAGGGTTGGAAATGTGCTGCCAGGCCCTCAGAAGGGTGGTGGAGTTGGAAAGCTCTACTCAACCCACAGTGATGGGACGAGGGAGAACCTCCCAGCTTCAGAGTGCAGAGCTCAGCAACTATTTGAGCTGAAGCCAGGGTCACCTGAGGCCACTATTCCAGGTGCCAGGCAGGGCTCAGCCTGTCCCAGGCACCAGGTAGTGCCTGTGCCAGAGCAGCCCAGCCCTGCCCACTGGTGCAGAAGGGAGGACTTGGGTGGGTGCGGGCGCTCAGCTCCTCCCTGGCAGCCCCCTTGCCTTGGAGCACTCTGTTCACAAGGCTGGTCCAGCAGCAGCAGGGATCAGGGCCAGACCTCAGTGCCACACACAGACACTCCCCCCACACGCTCTGTATTGGCATCTCAGCACAATCCTGCACCTTTCCCTGACACTTTCTCTCTCACAGTTTTACAGCTACGGCTCCAGCAGAGAAGGACCCGTGAGCAGCTGGCAGACCAAGGCATCATGCCACGTGAGTATCTTCTGCCTTTTCCACCCACTCCTGGCTCAGAGGGGCTGTGGTCATCCTGGGCACTGCTGGGACACTGTGTGGCACCAGCTGCCTGCTCAGACCCACAGAGCTCAGAGCAAAGTGCTCCCAGGGGAACTTTGCTCCCTGCCCTGCAAAAATATGATGGTCCCTGGTGCTGTACAGAGGTGCTCAGCATTTATCACACAGACTATAATGCCCCTGCTCAAACTGAAGTCAGGAGAGATGTTTACCTTCCACCATCCAAAAGTTCAGCTGCAGAGTTCCCTGTCCCAGGGGTCACTGTAGCAGGACAAGCATATCCAACTCAAGCAGAAGACTCACAAACCTCTTCACGTAGGCAAGGGCAGGGAATCTCCTGTCCCCCTGTAAAAGCCAGGAACGTCTGGGAACCTCTATGGCAGGACGAGGAAGAGGTAGAGAGGGCCCATTCCAGAGGCTGTGGAGGGAGGCAGCCACAGGCAACTGCCTTGGCCCCAGAGTGGAAAGTCAGTCCCTGGAGGATTGAGATATATCCAGATCCATGTCTGTGCCCAGCCAGGACCCCACAGGGCAGGGCTATCAGGGTACACCTGAGGCCACTGAAACCCCACCTGGGCTGCTTGTGGCACAGTGACAAATGTGTTCCCTCTCTGACCTCCCTCACCCCTGCTCACCTGGCACTCGAGCCTGAGGGACAAGCTCCAGGACAGCATTATCCTGCAATCAGGCAGCATCAGAAAGTCAGTCGCTGGGGCCCAAAAAGTCAGTGAATGAAAATGATCCCTTCTGCACCTGCAGGTGCATCATGAAACCTGTAGCACCACTGGAGAAAGGATGTTGGCAGCTCAGCCCTGCTCGGTGGAATACTCTGTCCTGACCTGGCTCAGGCTCCACGTGCATATCTGTGGTTACCTGGGACCCAGGTAGAGGATCCTTTCTGTCTCATCAAGGACCCCTTGGGTTCACTGCTAAGATCACAATTTTCCAAGTGCTGTGTCACTTCTGTCTCTTCTGGTTGACCTTGAAGACTGTGATGCAGCTCTTGCCTCAACAGCAGAACAACACCTCACTAAGAGCATGGCTCTGGCACTGCTTGCTGCACCCTGCCCACCCCTCTGCCCTCCTGAACGATTGTGCCAAGGTAGCCAGCAACAGTCACCTGCTCAGGACATAATTGTCAGCATCAAGCACTAAGAAAACTTGACCAAGATGACAAAAATCATGATTGCCAAAATGATAAATGGCTTTAAGACTAATAAATGCATGTTCTTTCCATTTTTCACCTGTTTATTTGTTTAAACATTCAGATTTTGTGCTACCTGCCACAAAAGGGCAAGCACTTTAATCACAAGACTCCAGGAGCTGAAGCTTTAAACAAAATACTGTGACATTTGTTAGAGGACTGCAAGAACCAGGAATACAGTCCATGGCCAAAAATATGTCTAACATCTCTGAAATTGCAAAGTCCACTCTGTAAAGGTGTGGACACATGGACAAGGTGCAGGACAGCTCATTGCACGCTCACAGAGCTGCAGTGCCTACTGAGAGGTTTGCACACCTGGCACTGCTCTGCAGGGCTGAGCTGGCACACGTGGCACCCAACAGCTCAAACCTTACACATTGCAGACCACTTATTAAGCCAAATTTATTTGATGGCAACTGAAGTGTATTTTCCTGTTACTTACAGCTTCTTTGCACTCCCAACTTCTAGGCTGAGATTTTGCAGTCTGGTTTCTGTCCAAGAAGACCATTTTGGGAAACTTGAGCATAGTTCACTCACTGAAAGTAATAGAAGAAAAGGCACTTTTGCCATTATAAAAACAAACATGCAGAATTTTACTGCTGCATTTGACCTCAGGAGGAAGTGTCAGGAGTTAGCATTTAATACATGGGAGCCCCAGCCAGCTTCCCTATGGCTTGGGCATGTGCAGTCATTCCTCATGAAAAACAAGTCTTTGTTAACCTTATCTTCCCACGCCCTGTTGGCTCTGAGGACCATCAGGTGAGATTGGCTCCAGGAGGTGCACTAGGACAGGATCTCAGTTCACAGCTATTGCAGGAGGTCAAGAAATGAGCCCATATGGCTGTAACACACAGGGGTTGAGAATCTTCTGTAAAGAGAAAAGAGAATCTCTTCTGGAAAAAGTAAAGATGGGCATGGCTGGTCTCCATGGTGAGAGGCAGGTTTGGGCCCATGCTTGGAGCATACACATGGCACAGCAGATTCTGCACAAGATGCTCCTGATGCAAAGCAGTGCAGATGAGAGCAGAGCCCATCCCATTCCTCAGCCTCACTGAGTAGGAAGTTTCCAGTTCATGCACTGGCACACACAGATTTATTGCCCCAGTGCAATAAATTTGCAGAGCCAGCAAAAGCATTTTAAATCAAGAGCATGCAGGGTCACTTGCAGAAAGGCAGCTATAGGGCTGAGCATGGATAAACCCTCTCCCTAGACCTGCCCAGACACCTGCCCTGGGCCAGATCCTGCTCACCTGCCTAAAAGGAGGAGGAGGCAGATTGCAGGATCAAGGATTCCTCAAGACAGGATTCCTCTGACTGTGATGGAATGCAAAAATAGCTGCTCTTGAAGACTCTCCTGCTGTACACAGCCACCACCTCATCCTCTCACTGAAACCTCAGAGCCACAGTCCCAGGGTTATGGACCCCTCATGCAGCAGCTCTGCCTTGGTGCTTCAGACCCTCAGCCATTTCGTGCTGAGATGTCATCCCCTGAACAACCACTGCCATGTCTGTATTTGTTTTGCAGACTAATACAGGCTGCAGCATCCAGATAATTCCTCCAAAAATCTTGATAAATCACTGAGCTCTGCAACACTTTCCTCTAGAACAGCATGGTGCTTGGTCAGTGCCTGTAGCACACTGCCAACATCAGTACTGCACAGTGAGCAGGGTTGGGAAAGTCATCTCTCTGGCTGACTTCATTTCTCCTGTGCACTATTTGATCTTGCTTCTGATCAAACCAGCTGTCACCAGTGCTTGTGGCTGCTCACCAGAGCATGACACAGCAATGCTTGTCTGTCCCTCTGCTTTCCAAATGTCAGGAGTAAGAATGTGCCTTCTGTGTTTTCCTGTGATTCACTGGAGGTTCCAGGGATTGCCTGGGTGTTGCCTACCAAAAGCAAGTTCAGAGGGCCCCCAAACCTTTCCTGTCTCTCCTCAGTTTTCTCTTCCTCCTCCCCTAGACTGATGGAGGATAACATGTCCTGTGTGAAAATAGTTTCTGTCTTTATTGCATCCCATTCAGAAGATGGAAAGAGAATTTCTGTTGCCAAACAAAGAGTTGCAGCAGACTGTTTTTGTGGGTCAGGACATCTTCCCCTTCCTTGTCCCAGTGGGAACAGTGAGTTTTGCCTGCTTACACAGCCAGAAAAGAATTTCTGTAGGATGTGAGAAGTATTAACCCCCTCACCATGCAAATTCTGCCTCTATTTCTACTAAACCCCAGTAAACAAGGAAATGTGCAAATTCTCCATGACTCCAGCACAGACTGATGGGACTGCTGTTCACTGGTCCAAGAGCCAGGGATGATTGGCCTTTTTTTGGGAGCCCCTCTGAGTTAATCCCCCTTGGTGTCAGGAGGTGGTCTGCTGCCTGGTACCTAGCTGGGCCAGGGAGGTCCCATGTCACACAGCTGCCTCTGGGCAGGGAACAGGACAAATGTCCAGTGAGAAGGGGTGGGACAGTCAGTGATGGAAGAGGGACAAAGGACCACAGTTCCAGGGCCTTCCCCTGCAGTACTGTCGCTGCACCCACGGACCCCAAGAGCTGAGGCAGTCTTAGTTTTCCTGCTGACCTCAAGCCTGAGTCACCTGCAGGTGAGGTCCCTCACAGGTGTTTCCTTTTCCCAGATCTGTCTTCTGGAGCTGTGGTGCCTTCCATGACCTGCAGGGAACATTCCAGGGAAAAGTCCTATCTGCTCTCTGATGTGTCCCACAGAGCACTGTGTTTCAATGCCTGCACCCCCTCCCTGCCCACGTGCCTTCTGCTCTCCCCCTGCTCTCCATCTCCCCTGCTCTCCTGCCATGGACTGGCTGAGAGCATGGGATTTCCCAGAGCTTTCCTAAGTTATTTTTAGGCAGTGCAATAAAGACAACAGCTAGTTTGTGTTGCTATTTTTATAGCACTCATTAAAATGCTGTTGCTGAATATCCTGGTAGCTGCTTGCTTCCGCTCCTGTGCTGACTGCTCCTCTTTCTTTCCTGTTGCAGCACTGAAAAGCCCATCTGCATTCCATGAACAGCGAAAAAGTCTGGAGCGAGCCAAGGTAACTCCTGCGGCCATCCCGTGAGAGAACACGTGGGCTTGCTTTGCATGAGTCACAGGGTTTGAAAGCACCTTCCACCACCATCCCTTCCTCTGGCATCCTCCATGCGGGCCCTGTGGCCAAGGATGAGGGGCAGAGCATCTCCCCTGCTTCCAGACATGGGGTGTGCTCACAAATGTTCTGGAGCGCCTTTCTCCGAGCAAGGAAGGCTTAAAAGGGCAGAGGGGGCATCTGTGCCGTGAGCTGTGGGGTTTTACAGCAGCCTCAGGGTTTTGCAAGGGGCCATGGGCAGGGCACAGCTCAGCATGGCATTGGCAGACCTTGCAGTGAGTGTCCAAGCAGTGGAACTGCTGCTGTCCCTCCGGCACATCCACAGCCTGTGCTGGCTGCTCTGCACTCCTGTGTCAGCCAGGTTAGAGCAGGGCCAGCAGCAAACAGGCCTGAAGGATCCTAACTAGTTCTCTGCAGCGGGAATGCAGCTGCCTCCTGGAGTAAATCCCCAGGGAGCTGACACTTGTCCCCAGGCAGGAGCCTGGCTCTGAGCTCCGCAGGGCAGCTTGGCCACTGGGACACAACATCCAAGGGGGAAGATGGCCAGGCTCCTGTCCACCCCATTATCTGGCTTCCCTAAATACTGCTGAAGGCAGAGATAAGATAAGTAGCCATTTCCATAACGAATTGAAACTCTGTTGATCACCTTTTGGGAAATCACCCTTGTTTCCCAAGTGCCATGACTCAGCTGGAGGGGTGACCACAGAAATCACACAGTCATGCAGGTTTTGCTTGAACACAAGAGTTTGTTCCATTAATCCACAAAACGTGCTTGCAGTCACATGGGAAAGGCCCCTCGCAAGGAAGAATGATTGTGAAATACAGAGTAGTGCTCTTCTGAACTTAAACACACTCCAAATCACTTGCCCCGAGTCTCCCATGGTAATAAATGGCAAGCATAAGAAACACAATATGACTCTGAAAAATTAGTATGCTTACAAAATTTCAAGCAATCCAAAGTATCCTTGAAGTGTCATATATTTTATAGTTTAAGTATACATTTGTGTCTCTGTCTTTCTCTTCAAAAGCTTTCCCTGGCTAGTTGCCTGGGGAATGGGAAAGGATGGTCCAGTCTATCCCAAACCTCAGGCGTTTTTAGAGCGTCCTAAGGAAGACACTGAGCACAGCCCATAACAAACATTGTTCTCTTGCAAGGTTGCCCTGCTTAGACCTGGGACAGGGAAGACCCATGGCTGCTTCCAGATAATTACTCAAAGGCATTTGTTGTTTAGGTGATATTCCTCCCAGCTGATGTTGTGTGAACAGAAAGCAGATAACAAGAACTGTTCCTGTGTTCTGAAAGCTCTTCTGCTTCAGCTGATGCTAAAAAGCCCACATTTGAAGCCTTTCTCCACCATTTGCACCCCAGAGACACAAGGACAGCTTATAAACAGATAAGGTCCAAAGGAATTGAAGTCATAGCAGAAACATGAGCAAAGCCACAGCTGTAGGCCAGCAACTGGAGCTGAGCTGAAGTCAGGACCTGATCCGAGGAGTAGCTGGAAATGCATTAGGTGATTTTAATTGCACTTGGGTGCAGACACCAGCTCGCTCTGACCTGGCACAGGAACCAGGCAAACCTGCCCATGGTCCAAGCAAGGGATTGTATTGGTGGAAGTAAGCTGGGAAAAAATACAGGGGTAAGGGTAAGGCGTTAGAAAGACTTCAGTAAATAAAATATCTATTATTTGTTTAAACATGTCACTGGCTATGTTAGAGGCTGGCATCAGGCCAGCACAACAGACTTTGATGTTGGTGTCCTAGAATAGATTGCTGGGTTGGAGGACTGAGAGCAGGCTGCCTTTGCTGAGGCAGGCTGGCTTTCCTGAGCCCTGGCTCAGTAGTGCTTGAGCACTCACCCAGCACTCCAGCAAGGGTGGCAGAGAGGGACTGCAGGGGCTCTTGTGCCTCTGCCCCAGAGCAGAACAGCCCCACCTCAGTCACTCCTGACTGACGTGTGAGCACCCACATGCCGGGGTTTTGAAGTTGTTAACTCACTTGTCTACCATTGGTTTCTGTGTTGCCATAGTTATTATATTGTCTCCTTGCATTGGCTAGCCAAATGGCCAATCCCCTCCTTTGCCCAGCAGCCCTTATAAGCTGCGGGAAATTTGAATAAATCTCTCTTCAAACTCCAGCACCCACAGACATCCCACTCCCCAGCAGCTGCTCTGGTGTTCTCTGACCTGTGCCGTGAGATGTGTCCTCTCATTCCCAGCTCAAGCTGTTCAGCTGAAGTTTGAGCACGCTGCTGGTTCTCCTAAATGCATGCACGTGTAGAACTGTGTCTCTTTTTTCTTGTAGTACTTTTAAAAGCTATTTTGCATCCTGTGTCCCTGCAGCAGTCTCACCTCTGCCTGACCAGCCTCCCCTCCCTTCAGCCCCTCCTCACTGATCCCATCTCTGACTCAATAATGATGTCTGTAGCTGTTGTCCAGTCCTTGTCCATGAACCCTTTCAGATCTAGGGCACAGAACAGGGCCTTGCTGCTGCTGTGTCTGCACTGGGCAGCTGACACCCTGTGCTGTGTCTCCTCTGCTGGTTTGGGGTTGTGGGTCAGCTGCTGATCACTAGATTCTCCAGAGCCTTATGTAGTTTTTCTATGCATTGAGTAACTAATTTCTGCCAGGGTAGTGACCACTTCAGAAGAATCTCTGGTGCATTGTCTTCATCCCCCACAGTGCTTAACTAATTGGCTTAGCTGTGGCTAACTGTGACCTGAACACAGTCCTTCCCAAGTGTCCCTGATATTGTATCACATGTATTTCAGACCATCTATTGCTCTAAATCATGGTGCACTGTAATCTGTTAGCCTTGAATGATTCAGAGTTAAGAAATACATCTTCTGTCATCCAAAGGACTAATTAATATATTGACTAGCAGGAAAAATTGCTGCATAACAGGATTTGATATATTCTTCTGTTTAGACTGTGAGCCATTCCCAATTCCTCTGGTGATCCACAGCCATGCTCCTTTTTTATGTTAGTCTTATCCAGACCAAATTTCTCTGGCTTGCGTATGAGAAAGCCGTGTAAGATAATGTCAAAACATGTTTAAAGTCAAGCTACATGACATTAATTTTTTATTCCTGTAACAGAAAACTGTCATCTCTCCATAGAAGGAATTTAGGTTGATGCGATGTGGTTTGTTCTTGATAAATCCATCCTGGCTGTTTTTCACCTCCTTGCTATCTTCAAAATCCACTTATATAGATTGTTTGATTACTTGGTCCAATATCTTGCTGTCTGCTTTATAATTTCCTGGTTTCTTCTCTCCATCTCTTCTAAAGCAAGACATTATACTTTCCTTTGCCCAGTTTCCTGGAGAACCACAGATAGTTGCTATTACTCTAGCCCTGTGTATCCCAAGCTGCTTGGGGACGTTTAACTCCTCTGAGTATTCTCTAACCTGTTCTCCAAGCTAATAACTGGAGCTTCTTTTCTGTTGCTGAAGGCTCTTGGCTTAGCCACCTGATTGATGAATAGCCATTTATCTGTTTAGTGAGGATTGTTTTAAAAGGCATTAAATCCTGTGGTCATCTCAGCAACATGCACAATTATTTCTCCTGTTTATGGAACACAGACAGCACTTTCCATTGCCTGATCCTGGCTGCAGAAGTGCTTGTAAGATCTTTTTCTCGTGAACCTGTACATTTTTTACTGTGGGTTTCCAATTGTGCTCCAGCTCCTTGTACTATTCTTTAATATTTATTCTTAAGATTTTAACCTCTTTGAACTATGAACATATTTTGGACTATTTCTTCTTGCAGCTCAGCTTAGCAAAGAGCTAATCTTGTCTAAGTTGTGCTCTAGCTTTTCTTCACCAGGGGATAAGCTTATATTTGTATTTTTGAGGTCAGCTGCCCTCAAGGCTGACTTCCTTGGCCCTAATGGATGGTTACTGTACCTCTGTATGCCTCTGTGTTTCTAAAGCCATGAGGGAGGTGGCACAAGGTCCCAGGACCATGTTCATCACAAGCTCAGCTGCAGTGATCTGCAAAATGGATTTTCCCAGCCTCATATCACAGCTGGGGTGAGGAACCACAGAGCATAGGAACTGCAGGAAGGTTAAACCTCATGGCTGACCTGCGTGGAAAGTCTGAGTATCTTCATTACTCGCTCCTGATATTCTACCCCAGAGTGCCAGCTTCCCACAGGCACTGCTAACAGGACGCCCCAGAGCTGTCTTGCTGCAGCTCTCAAAGGTGCTGGACCTGCACCATTCCCAGGGAATAGGTCCCACCCTTCCTGTGAGCTCTCACAATACTTCAGGCATCAGAAGCCCAATGGTGATTGTAAAGGACACAGGAGTGGGTACAGTGATCAGTCAGCAGCTCCATGCACAGTGTTCCCCTTCTGAAGAACTCCTGCTCAAGAACAAGCCGGTGTCTGAGTGACGAAAAATGCCATTTAGGATCTCACTCAACCCAGCTTGTAATAAATCCAAAAGAGCTATGGGATGGCACAGGGGCAGGTGCTCTCAGTACCTTATTGCTGCTCCAGCCAGGTAACCCTCTGCATTTGTGTTCTGCAGACTGAAGATTATCTCAAGCACAAGATCAGAAGCAGGCCTGAGCGCTCAGACCTGGTCAACATGCACATTCTGCAAGGTAAGACTGCCCCAGCTTCCCACAACTCCTCGTGTCTCCTGCCCTGGGACTCGTGTCCTTCCTCCCCACTTGTGTTCTTTCAGGGCTCTCATCATGATTAACTTTGTCCCAGCGGCTCATGAGAGACAGACTTAAACGGGACACAGTTTGTATGGAATTCTCTCCAGATCTGGTCTTCAGGAAGCAGGACACACTTTTTTTTATTCCCTGACAAACGCGGTCCCAAGACCATCTAGTCTTTCTCCCATCTCTGCCAGAGGCCATCATGAGATGCTCTAGAGAACAGTGGGTATAGAACAGCTGTGAGAGAGAACTCTGTTAGCCACAGGAGCTGATGTCTGATCATGAAAAGCAAACCCAGAGCATTTGTTGTCCAGGGCACTGAAACTCCTATAGCAGGTTGTTGTAACACCCTCCCAAAGTGAATCTTTTGTGTTGCCATAATTCCAGATATTCTGTGGGACAACTCATGCAGTCAGTGACCCAAGCACAGCTGTATAAAAAGCCCTGCTATCAGTCTGTGAACCACAGCAGCTCTCCCCTCTCCCACCATGGTGTTCCCTCCCAGCCAGAGACCTGGCAAGGCTGTATCCCATCACAGACAGCAGAACCCCACGGTGTCCCTCCTTATCTCCAGAGATAACAAGATCCTTAGAGACAGAGAGGATGTGCAGCCTCCCTCCCTCCCTCCTAGAGCTCTGTCAGTTGGCTGGAAGAAGCAGATCACTCTCTGGCAGCTGTAAATGCTGCCCTCTGCTCTCAGCATGGGTGCAATCTTTCTTCCTCTGGCGGGCAGGAAGACTGAGCCAGTGTCCCATGCTGGATCAGTGTCACTGCCTTGCTTTCCCCTTGGGTTTCCATCCCTAAAATGGGCTGGCACCATTGCTTAAGAGGTGAAAGTGTCTTTCCCTTGGGTTAAATAACAGAAGCAATATGGCCAGGAGTTGTGGACAAGGGCTGTCAACCAGATGTGGAGGCAGCTGCAGCCCTGGGCATGGACAGGGCCAGGCAGGGCCAGCCAGGGCACAGGGGAGCAGAGCCTGGCTGTGTACTGAGCAAGCTGCACATGCTGCCCCACACCCCCTGACCTGGAGGCTCTGCTCACACCTCTGCCCATCGTGCTCTGTGTTCCATGGAGGTGCCTTGGCGTATCATGAACTTACATGTACATTTTGTTCACAACAGGACCTAGAGGGGATTGCAATTGGCCAGATGAGACACTTTGCATCATCAAAGTGCCTCACAGACACACCTTCTGTTACTGTTCACCTCGAGGAGCTCATTTGTGTTCACTGGTCTATATAATCTGAGGCCAGAAGTGGCCCTAGACCAGCTCTCCTGGCCTCTTGCAGAGAATTTTCCATGGCATGAAGCCCTTTAGCTTGTGTTGCTGACAGTATCTCCTCCAGATCAGTGCCCAGTCTTTGAAGATAGCACAACCTAGAATCAGCCATTCCTACTTTAGACCCCCAAGGGTATAGAAATGGTCTAGTTTAGAAACCCACTCCCTCCCTACTCATGCCTGTGCCACCATAGGAGCCAGATCAGCTTTGCTCAGGAAATTTTCTGTTTAAGTTGCTACTCTTCTGTCACACTCTGCAACTGGGGTCTTCTCAGCTGGCTTTGGTAGGGCTGTAGCTTCCAGATCTACCTGCTGTGCTCTTCTCCAGCTCGTTCTTCCCTGAAGGCCTGGAGCATTGTAGTCATGTCACCTCTGAAAGTCCACAGCCCAGCACTCACTATTTTTAATTCCAGTGTAAGCCATTTACTCCAGTTGTCAAGCACTGCTAATGGTTCTTTTCTCCAGCTGTTCCCCAGAAGTAGGGATCCATCTGCACTAGCCCACAAGGGCGAAGGTGCTTCTGGCAGGCAGGAGCTGGAGACCCCTTTGGCCCTCATTAGTCTCAGCTTGTTAATCACAGGTCACTCCTGGTCCTTGCAGAGGATGCTCCAGCTGTAGGCTGGGTTTGCAAATCTAGGCTGGTAGACAGAGGCTCTTGTTTGGGTAGGGAGAAGCTGGGCCTAAGGCTCAGAGGAGGACCCATGTCACAGATCCCACCAGCCCCACCCAGTCCAGCAGAGCAGCTCCTGCTGTGCCCTGAGCCACACTCAGGTTTTGCCCACAGCTCCCAGGGCTGTGATGAAGGGAAGCACTCGCTGAGGTTTCCCCTGGTCCTGATGCCTTCTTTGGCCTTTTAGACTCGGCTGCAGAGGGGTCCATTCAGTCGACTCAAATGAAGCTGAAAAGAGCCCGACTGGCAGATGACCTCAATGAAAAGATCGCTCTCAGGCCGGGTCCTTTGGAGCTGGTGGAGAAGAATATTATTTCCGTTGACTCTGCAGTGAAAGAGGCCATAAAAGGTAGTGAAAGGAAAGGTGTGTGTTGTGTGTGCGCGTGGAGCAGGGCGGGGGCTGGCGAGGGCACGAGGAGGTACCACAACGACTGCAGGAAGTGACTGACCTGGACTTAGGAGCTGCATTTATTGCTTAAATTTCATTATTTTCACAGTAGGCAGCCCAGTCCAGCACAGCTTGCTCTGTCTTATCCTGCCTGTGAGCAGAGAGCTCTCACGTTAGAGCAGTGACACTGAAACATGCACAATTGCTCAGCCATATACCCACAGAAGAGCCTTCCTTCTTACACCTCTTCTCTCCACAAGGCTTTGAGCGTGGAAATGCTACTGTTGGAGACAGAACGTTCCTTTCTCCTGTGTGGGAGAGGACCTGGGTGCAGAGGTGTGGTTGTGAGGCCAGTCTGGATTCTCCCACTTTTGCCCTGCCAAGCTCTTACATCCCAGTTAATGGGGGTGAAGTGGCCCCAGTTCAGTGAGGCCATGGTTCTTTTTTTTACCACTGATGCTAGTGGTATGAAAGGCCTAACAGAGCAGGATGCTACATCTTGGGGGTGTGAAAGCATCCCTGGGGAGTTTGGCTGCTGGGGATTGTGGAAGCATCCCTGGGATACCACGCTTCTGGGGAATATGAGAAGCAGCCTACACAGCCTAAACCCCAAAGCAGGGGACACTCCTCTCAACCAGTACCCAGCACTCGCCTTATGCCCAAGCCTGGTTTTCCTCCATCACCTCCCCCCCAGGAGGGAGGCAGAATCCTCTACAATTACTTCCCCACAGGGAAGCTGGTGCGGAAGGCGAAACAGAGCAAAAAGGTGACTCAAATTTCACAGGGCCCAGTGCCAGGACAGGGAGGTCTGAAAGCAGAGAAAAGGAGCAGGAAAACCAGCAGGGTCCTGCAGTGACAGGACACTAGCCTGTATTTTTGAAGCCTGGGGCCATCTTTACATGTCCAAATTGGTGCTCGAGTCTCCAGTGAGGCACTGAGAGGTGCTCTGCCCCTGGAAACTGCTTGTTCTGTTGCTCCTGGTTCCTCAATTCATGGGATCATTTTCATTGGCATAATCCCACATGAAGTGTCTGTTCTGGAGCTGAGAGCTGAAAGCAAGCTGGGGACAGTGGCAGGACTCTGGAACAGGAGGGGTCTTTGAGTGACAGGAGTGATGCCAAAAACGAGAGTTGAAACAGGAAACACTTTGAGTTTCATTTCATCTCAGAAACCATCATAAATGACATGAAATATTCCAGGCCCAGATATCACTCTGTCCTGCCCCACAACTGTTCCTGCTCTTGGTTTTGGGGCTGTGAAGTGCAGGCTCTGTCCATACAGCGGCTCCTCCAGCCTGGCCCTGGAGCTGCTCTCCTTCCAGCATGTCACAGCTCTCCTCTTTGAAGCTGAAATGTTCCAGGACTCTGCCTGAAGAGGAATTTTTAAGGAGAGTGAAGTAAAATCTCCCCAGCCACTTATCGAAGGAGAGAACAGTGGAAAAAAAAAAGTTTCAAAAAATCCCCCTCTTTATAAACATTTAAGGCAGTTTGAGCATGACTTTATCCCCTGGAGCTGAGGTTTGCAGACTGGGCAAGCGAGCTTGAAGCTTGAACAGAGCTTCTACCCAGCTGCCTTGTCAGGAGCTCGTGGTAAACAGAGATTTATGGGACCAAACTGTTAAAACCAAAAAGGTTGGCTTAAAAATGATTTGTTCAGTTTTAAATTTCTCCCTTTCGCAATGCCCTTCAATCACATTGCTGGGGAAAAATGTGTCCTGCAAGCCAGTTACATCCCATTTACGGTGAAATGTGCAGCACATTAGGGTCAAACAAGAAGGTACTTGGTACCACTGGGTGCCATGAGAAAAAGGTGATGCAGCTGCACCAGGAGCACCATCCCAGCCCTCACGTTTCTGCAGAAGAAAGCCCTAGGCTGAAGGATCCCCAAGCTGGTTTTCAGAGTCAGGGGCGCCTTGTGGTGCTCACTGTTCGGGGCGAAGGTCTGAACACAGAGCAGAGATGAGCACTGGCACTTCTGAACGTTAAGCCTTTTGTTTTTGCAATACCAGAAAGATGACAGGGTTTAAAATCATTTTACTTTAACCTTGGAATCTCAACTGTTTACACAGTGGAAAGTTCAGCTGACGTGTTCCTCTAATCACCTCCGGCAGGGTGAGCAGAAAGTGCCAGACCCCAACCAAAAGCCCAAACGTCCCAGTGACAGGAGGCCGCCAGTGCCCTGCATAGCTGAGCAGTGATACAAGAACCCTTTTTTACCAGGTCCTTGTCATCACTTTGTCCAACGGGCTGGAGAGGACAATACCCAGTGCATTAGAAACAGCCCGGAGCAAACACCATCCTGCCTGAGATTACAGCAGGGACACGGGATGGGGAAACAATACACTCCAGGCCGGGCTGGGTGAGAGCAGGACAGATAAGGGAAGCATTCCCCATCGGCACAGGCCTGTGGTATCAAGCAGCAGGATGCAGCGCATTCTTGTCATGCTCTGGGCTGTTGCTGTGTCCTGAAGGTCCCTTGGGCTCCCGGCTTTGGCACCACTTCTCGACACACACTTATTAAATGCCAGCCCAGCAGGAGCCTTGCAGATCCACAAGTCCACTACTCCTTGCTTGGAGTAATTTTTCCCGAGAGGGATACCCGTGCTGTCTGCAGGGATGGGAAGCAGCTCCCACCCAGCCCAGGTGGACCGTGCAGTGCTGCAGTTCCTCAGGGAATACCCAGTTTGGGTGCTGCCTCTGATGGAGAGGGCACAGGCCCTACTTTCAGGGACATATGAAGAGAGCAGGTTGGACATGGCTGATCTCATACCCCTAGCCCATATGGTGGCTGGGCAGCAGCTCAGGCAGGGAGCCAGGGCTCCATTCTCGCCTACCCTGGCACCAGCAGCCACAGGGAGCTGAGATAACCCTTATCTCTCAGATAGGGGCAGGGGTCAGAGCAGGAGGCCCGTGTTGGTGAGAAGGTGCACATTGCTAGACCAGCAGCAGGGACAGGTGGAAGCTTGTCCCCAGGCCCTTCCTATTTCCCCATTTGTCACCTCGCTATCAAGCGTGCCAAGCTGCCTGACAAATGCCAGACATGAGCATGAGGAGATTACAAGGATGGCCACGCTGCTCTTTCCTCTACCCCCACCTGCAGCCCTCCAGAGGCTCACATGAGACTTCTTTTTTCCCAGCACTTTATTTATCAGCAAAACCTGGGGGTCAAGAGCCCTTGCCCATCTGACAAGCAGATAGCGTGCAGCAGCTGTGCAGCGGGAGCACCAGTGCCCGGGGCTCTCAGAGAGGCAAAGGCAGTGGTTTGAACCATGTCCTGTGGGTGAAGCCTGTGGACAGAGGCAGGATCTGGGAGCCTCTGTGCATCTGCAGCCAGGTCCACCCATGTCGGCTCGTGTGCTGTGAGGGGATGGGTCATGCTCCGGGTTGATTTCAGCTTCAGTTCTTCTGATGAGGATGGGGTCCCACGGGTGTGTGGGTGTGCAGCCGGGGTGCTCGGGGGGTGGAGGGTGACCCTAACACCCATCTCCCGCCTCAGCCCAGCAGTGGGGCAGGATGGCAGAGCCCCTCCTGCACCAGTCCCACCTGTCTGCATCAACTCTCCTGTGCTGGTGGGCCTGACTTCTCCGAGCCTTCCTCTCTCTCTCTCTGCCACGGAACAGGGTCTATGGTCCCAGCTCCTTTGACCCCTTCTCTCTCCCTCTTCCAAGGGACACGGTTCGTGGTTCCAGCTAATCGGACCCCTCCTCTCTCTCAAGGAAAATGGTCCATGGGCCCGGCTCCTCAGACACCTGCCCTCCCTCCCCCAAGTGACCGGTCCATGGCTCGGGCCAGGCGCTGTGCCCCCTCCCGCTCTCCCCCAGCCGCGGCCGAGCCCCCCGGGCACCACGGCCGGGGCTGGGGGCACCGCGAGGCTCACCCAGGCCCCCCACCCCTCCCCAGTGCCCCCAGTCCCCGCGGGCCCTGACTGCCGCCCCTCCGCCCCCCAGGCACCCAGGGCAGCTTCCCCTGCCCGGCCGACGCCTTCGCCTTCGAGGAGGAGGACAGCAGCACGGACGGGCTGTCCCCGGAGCGGCCCCGCAGCCGCGGCTCCCCGGGGCCCGCAGAGCCGCCCGCTGCCTCCAGGGACCCAGAGCCGCCCCCCGGCGCTGCCGGGACACCGCAGGTAGGGGGGCGGTCCCGGACCGGGGGCACAACGGGGGGCACGGGAGGGACGGGCCGGGTCCCGTCCGGGCGCTCGCCCGGGGCCTCACGGGCTGCGCGGGGCCGGCGCGCCCTCCGCCGGCCGGAGCGGGCACTGCAGGCACCGGGGCCGAGGTGGGGCGAGGGACTGGCGGGAATGGGGGCACTGGGGGGACTGGGGTGGTGTCGGGGGAATGTGAGGGGCCGGGGGGGAACTGGGGGAATGGGAAGGACTGGAAGGAATGGAGAGGACTGGAGGAATGGGGGAACCGGGGTTGACAAGTGCAGACTGTGGGGCTGGGATGGACTGTGGGGGCTGGGAAGAACTGGGGCAGACTGGGGTGGGATTGGGACCAGAGGGACTGTGGCCATCCAGGTCAACTGGGAGGACTGGCCTAGTCTGGAGGACACTGAGGGGCCAGCATTGGGCAGGCTCAGGTGAAACCACGAAGGACTGGGGGGACAGAGGACTAGGAAAGAACTGGGATAGCCTGGGGGTGTGGGGATAGTTGGCTGAGATAGACCTGAGGGGACTGGGACGGACTGAGGCATCTGTGAGGACTGGGGACAACATGGGGTGAAGAAACAGGGTAGCAGGTGCCCCTGTGGAGGCTGGGCAGCCCCCAGCAGCAGCCCCACAGCCCCTCTCGCCTGTCCATTACAGGATCATCCCCCCAGTGCCGATGGCCACGCTCCGGACACAGCCCCGGGGCAGGGCAGCCAGTGTGACAGCCCCAAGCAGACGGGAGGGCAGGACAGCCCCACGCTCCCCGTGCCCTCTGCAGTGAAGGTAATCAATGCCTGTGCCTCTGGCTGCATCCCAGCCTGGAGTGTCCCCATGCTGCACTCCACCTGTGTGGGAGGTCTGGGGGTCTGGCCTTAAAGGCTTTGAACAATGCAGGCAGACAAACCTTATGCCAAAACTATAATTTGATTCACTGTGCAGTGGTACAAGGTACAGCAATACGCCTTTTGCCAGAGGCAATTGCTTGAGTCCTGCACTGTAAACGTCCCCTGGGCTGGGAGCAGGAGGAAATATGAGGAGCACTGGAATACATTCCAGGCAGGAAGGGTCATTCTCTATCTCATGTGCTCTCCAGCACAAATGAGAAGGGACAAAGTCCCGAGGGAGTCCCCCACATCCAGGTTCAGCAACTCTTGGAGCTGGAGTGTCAGAGTGCCAGCGGGAGCTGCCCTTGTTCTGTCCCAGGCCTCTGAGGTCCCACCGAGGGTGGCAGGAGCTCTTTTCACAGCTCATTCCTTTCCTTTGTGGACCAACAGTCCAAATCATCCACTGATAGCAAGAACCGTCACAAAAAGCCCAAGGACACGAAGCCCAAAGTGAAGAAGCTCAAATACCACCAGTACATCCCTCCAGACCAGAAGGCAGAGAAATCCCCTCCACCCATGGATTCTGCATATGCCAGACTGCTCCAACAACAGCAGCTCTTCCTGCAGCTCCAGATCCTCAGCCAGCAGCAGCAGCAGCAGCAACAGCACTTCAGCTACTCCGGGATGCACCAAGGACAGCTAAAGTGAGTGGCACTGTGACAGCAGCAGGGTTTAGTCCTATCTCTCTCCAAACTTTCCCCTGCCTAGTACCCATTTGTGCCAGTGCAAGGGGGTAGAGGCATGCCAGTGAAACATAAAAGCTTGGGAACAGCACAGACTGTCCATTCTGGCTTTGTGGACTGGCTGAGGCATCTGCAACCTGCTGGTGGGAGACCAGCAACCTCCTACAGCCCAGCCTGCTTTTCCTTGGGGTGGCCATCCATAGGCCTCATGCAGGAGACAGCTCCTAAGGGAGCAGAGGGATGGGATGCTGGTCACAGAGACCCTGAGGGGACCGACAAGTTACCCCAAATCTCCTTTGTTATTTCAGGCAATCAAATGAACAAATGGTCAAAAGTTCAAATTCTTCATCAACTTCTGTCAACAACACCCCTCTTTCTCCAGTGAAAACCACCTTTTCAGGCCAGACTTGTGTCTCGTCTATCAAGCCAGGCCCTCTGCCATCCAACCTGGATGATCTCAAAGTGAGTGCAAACTTTGTCGCAGCAGGAGCAGAATCTCACAGCCTGAGTGTGCAGTGGAGTGCCACAGGCTGGGAGAGAGCGAGTTACAGGTCAGCACAGCCCACCCACTGTGCTCTCAGCAAGCCCAGGAGTACAGCACAGCACACTGGGGCAGGGCTTGGGCACTGTGGTGGTACCTGAACATGAGGGCTTTGTGCTTTGCAGGTCATGAAGGGGTGCATTGCTCCAGTGTGTGTATCAGCAAACCTTAGGTCTAGCTTGGGGAGGCTGCAGGCCAGGCCAAAGGCTAAAGGATGATCTGTGCTGCTGCTCCTGCAGCTCCTGTCTCCATACCTTCTGTGGTTTTATGGTGAACATCAGGATACTCCAACAGACCAGCTGGAAGGTCAGCATGGCCTCCCCTTAGTGACTCAGTGGTCCCTGCAGCCAGGCCAGCTCAGCTCTCTGCACGAGCAGGTATCTCCTGCTACATGCACTGCTTTGAACATCTCTCATGTAGGCAAGACAGGCCATAAGGGAGAAACACATCAGCAGTTCTTTTATACTTTGCTAATGGACCCTCAGCCATGGGGAAGGCCAAATCCTTCTAGGAGCAGAGAGCTGGGGGCAACATTCATTGTTAGAGGTGGAAATAACATGAGTTTGGCCACAGCAATGCCACAGCTCAGGTGACTGTATCCTGTGCAGATGCCTGAACATGGAGTATGTGGCTCCAAGGTGTATGATCAGATTCTCTGAGCTGTCAGCTGGCTTTTGGTCTGTGTGAAAGTCCTCTGCTCATGGAGAAACCTCCTGCTAGGAAGGGAATCTTGAGTTGCCTCCATGGCCCAAGGGCCACTGCTGGTTCCTGGAGAGTCACAGTTCCTGGAGGAAGAAGGAAGGTTTTCCTGTTAGGAAAGGTGGAGATTCTGCAGGATGTGCAGGGGTCAGGCCTGCACAGGGTGACTGGTGAGACAGTGAAGCACCCGGGAGGGCAGAGCTTTAACACTGGGAGCTGCAAGCCTGTGATCTGAGCCTGCTTGTTAGAAGTGTTGGGTTTCTAAAGGGCTCATCTGCCACTGAGACTGATCAGGAGTGACTTTCCTTCTAGGTGTCAGAGCTGAGGCAGCAGCTCCGAATACGAGGCCTGCCTGTGTCAGGTACCAAGACAGCGCTGATGGAGCGTCTGCGGCCCTTCCAGGAGTGCGGCAGCAACACGGTGCCAAACTTCAGTGAGATCACCACCGTCACCTTCCCAGTCACTCCAACAAGCACGCTGTCGAGTTACCAGTCGCAGTCCTCCACCAGCATGTTATCAAATGGCTTCTACCACTTTGGCAGCACCAGCTCCACCCCACCCATCTCACCCGCCTCCTCTGATCTCTCTGTGAGCGGCTCTTTGCCAGACACTTTCAATGATGGGCCCATGTCTTCCCCACAGTTCGGTCTCCAGCCATCTCCAGTTCATGGCAGTGCTGAAGAAAGCCTCATGAGCAGCATGAATGGAGGGAGCATCCAGCTGGAACTGGAAGGAATTGACACAGAGAAAGACAAGATGCTGGTGGAGAAGCAGAAGGTCATAAATGAACTGACGTGGAAGCTGCAGCAAGAGCAGAGGCAGGTGGAAGAGCTGCGGATGCAGCTTCAGAAGCGAAAGAGAAGCAATGGCCTTGAGGAGAAGCAGCAGTCTGCTCAGCATTTCTTTGGTGTCCCCATCAAGCAAGAAAACGCCGTGTCCAGCTGTCCATTTGCATCCAAACAAAAGGCCTCGAAAGGCCAGGCAGGCAGCTCGGACAAGCTCAGTAACCGTGCGGTGCCGCAGGTGCCCCACATTGTAAACAGCCACTGCCTGGAGCCTGCGGGGCAAAGCACCATCACCTCCTCGACATTCCTGAGCCCGCAGTGCTCCCCCCAGCACTCTCCCCTCGGGGCTGCCAAGAGCCCCCAGCACATCAGCCTCCCGCCGTCCCCCAACAGCCACTACCTGCTCCCGGTGTCCCCCGTGCCCGCGGACGGGCGCAGCGGGTCCCCGACCGGCAGCTCCTGCCTCCGCACAGCACCGGTGAGTGTGAGAGTGAGCCCAGCCCCCCTCGGGCACACACAGCCCACTGCAGGCCTGGCCTGTCAGCCCGGGACTGCTGGAATTCAGGCTGGGCACCCAGGAGCCATCACAGCACATGGCACTGCCTGGAAAGGCAGAGAGTATCCCAGATGGGTGGGTTGGAAGCTGATGGCACTGCAGGGTTCTTTGGAGGGTATGTCTTGGGGAGCCCTGCCTTGGCACCCAGTTGCCCTGGGAGGGGCACAGCACAGCTCCCATGCCCCATGGAGCCCTAGCACAACTCCTGCTGCCCTGGGGAAGCCCTGGCACAGCTCCACTCTTCCCCAGGGGACCCCAGCACAGCTCTCCCTGCCAATAGGTGAGCACTGGCAAAGCTCCCTGTGTCCTGGGAGACTCCTGGCAGATCATCCTCTGCTCTGTGGAGCCCTGGCACAGCTCCTTCTGCCCTGGGGAGCCCTGGCATAGCACCTTCTGCCCTGGGAAGTCCTGGCACAGCTCTCTCTGCCCCTGGTTGAGCACTGACACAGCTCCCTCTGCCCCTGGAGGGGTCCTGGCAAAGCTCCCTCGTCCCTGGGGAAGCATTGGCAGAGCTACTTCTGCCCTAAAGGAGCCCAAACTCAGCTGCCTCTCCCCTCAGGGGAGTCCTGGCACAGCTGCTCGTGCCCCATGGAGCCCTGGCACAGCTCTGTACACAGCAGGGAAGCACCAGCATGGATCCCTCAGCTCCTGGGAGAGCCCTGGCACAGTTCCTACACCCCTGGGAGACCCCTCTGCAGGGTTGCAGGGCTTTCCAGCATCTTGCCAAGCCATTGTGGCTCCCAGCAGTGTGTGTGGGATTTTCACCACTGGCTTGGAGGAGAGCAGTTATCCTGGGAAGCCTTTTGTCAGAAAGCTAAAGCAGGGCCTGCAGTTGGGGTGTGCAATCAGATAGAGCTCGTGCCTCCCCACCAGGCCACCAGCCCAGCAGGGCGTTGTCTGCAGCAACCACCACTCCTCACTCAGCCCTCTGGACAGGTACGAGTGCCTGGGGAGGGGCACACGCCGCCAACACAAAAAGCACCAGAAAGTTCTGCTGATCACAGCCCAATTCATCCCAGCTCCCTCTTGGGGCTCCCCAGGGAGCAGCACCACCTCTCCCATGGCCTGTCCCACTCCAGGGTGCCAGGTGAGCACACAGGGCTCAGGGAGGAGCACGGCAGGGGCAGGCTGAGCACAAACAGCCGCTGAGGAACAGCCCAGCCCAGAGCAGGGCCATCCCAGCCATGTGCCCCGGGGTGCAGGCACTGTGGGCAGCCCTGCACGGCGGCACAGCGTGGGCATGGCACCATGTCCAACCCCTCCAGCGGATGGGGAGGCAGCGCCATGGGCAGTTGGCACCAGCACAGCCAGCGAGGTGGGAATGGGCAGCAATTTAGGGCAAGGAGGGGCAGAGACAGGGCTGCCAGTGGGATGGGCACGGAGGGCAGTGGGGTTGGAGTGAGGCAGGTGGTGGGGCTGCTTCAAGGGTGAAGAGGGTGATGTGAACACTGGTTTGGGTGAACTGGGCCATGGGGAGGATGAGCTGGGCAGGGGGCAAAGAGCAGGGAATGCAGGGGGTGACCCCAGCAGCGGGGCTGTAGAGGTGAACTGAGCACTGGGGCAGAGCTGTGGGAGCAGTAGGCAGTGGGACACAGTACTGTGAGATGATATCCCAGAGAGGCAGTGGGGCTGCTCTGGAAGGCTGGGCAGTGGTCAGTGAGTGTGAGGAGGGAGCAGTGATACTGTGGGGTCATCTCCAGCTTCTCCCTCCCAGCCCAAGAGGAAGGGGCATATGGAGGGTATGGTCCCATGGTATCCTGTACCTCATCCCAGCTGTGACACCACCATCCTGAGCATTCCTCTGCTGCCTGCAAGACACTCCCAAGGGTGAGGGTTCTTCTTCAGCAAGAACCACTCTGTGCCTAGCACTGGAGTGCTGTTCCTCACGAGCCAGGGATAGTATTCCTTCCAGCTGCTCTCCACAGAAGGGTGGCCAGGATGTGCATGGCCAGGCCGAGTGACCTCACTGCTGCCCTGGATCCACCCCTGGATCCAACCCCTGCAGGGGTGACGCTGCTTCCCCTGGTATTGGCTCTCATGGGACAAGGCAGTGGGGAAGGACACACAGGGGCCTAGAAGTGATGGGGACAGCAGCTGGCAGGCACTGGACCTTCAGAAGAGGTCTCTCCTGGAACGGGAGCATGGCAAAAAGCTGGCAATCATATGCAGGTGTTTGGCACAGGCCAAGGTTTCCCTCTGTTGCATGGTCTTCCTTGGCCTGGGCTCTGTGAGATGTCATCAGACAGGCAGTAATGGAGAGGGGCTGGGACACAGCTTGGGAGGTGCCACATCAGTGGCCAAGTGCAGCCAAACACCAACAGCCCCTCTCTGTCTTCCCCTTGCCCTGCACATCCCCGGCTGGGCCAAGCACCAGGATGCTCTGGGACACCATTCCCGTGCTCCAGCAGTAACCAGAGGCCAGCCTGGCCCTGGGGCTCAGAACCAGGCTGAGGGAGTTAGTTTACCTGCCTCTACCCTGCTGGAAGGCCAGGCATTTTGTTTGTTTGACCCACAAAATAGTTATTTTCCCTGGCCCCAGCCCGACCTCAGCAGGGATGAGAGAGCTGGGCCTCCCTCTGTGCCTCCCTGTGCACTGACTCCCTTTCCCTGTATTTCCCCAGCAGATGGCTGCGCAGGCAGGTCAAAAGTTTTCTATTCCATCCCCAAGTTTTTGTAAGTCAAGCCCAGCCCTGTCAGAGGTAAAGCAGCCTCCACCCTATGAGGATGCAGTGAAGCAGGTAACTGCATGGTTTTTGTTTTCTACAGGGCTGGGGCTGCCCAGGGTGCCCTTCTGCAGATAGTGGGGCTCAGCTACAGGAGTTCCAACCTATTCTGGGGTCTCTGGGTAGAACAGGCCTGTTTTCAGAGGCATGGGCTTTTTTTAAGGGTTAGCTGCTGACTGGCTGCCATGAAGCAGTCAGAGACCACGCTGGGCAGGACAGTGTCTGCTGTGCACCCCTTGACACCCCCCAAACACCCAGGCTGCTGGTGTATTCCTCTTTGGAGTGCTCAGTGTTGTGTGAGGAATAGACCCTTGAGCATTCCCCCAGTCACCAGGAAGCTCACCTTCACTCCTTAGCCCATTAACAACAGGGGTTGTTAATGCTCTGTGCCATCTGCCCTCGAGCCTTATCCCGGAGTGCTGTTCCCACAGGAGGACTGTCCATTGCCCATGAACCCCTTCCATGAGAATCTGGCAGCAGCCTCAGTGCCAGGAATGATGGTGGCTTTAGGAATGCAGAGTGATGCTGTTGCAGTGATGAGAATTGGCTCATGCTGGAGTGCAGGAAGTCCTGCCAGTTTCCAGACAGGGAGAGGAAGATGCCTGGGCGGTGCAGGGAGTGCAGGCAGTGCCAGTGCGAGGTGCTGGGGCCAAAATGTCCATGTGTCTTGGTGGCCCTGGGACAGGGCTGTGGTGTCCACTGAGCAGAGGGTTGGTGGCAGAGCAGGGCACCTTGGTCCCTGGATCTACCGTGATGTCCCAGGTCCCTGCAGTGCCCACCTGAACACCACTGCCAGCCTCATGTTGATGTGGCCTCTCTCCTGCACGGGAGGAAGCCATTTGTGGGGAACAGAGCCAACTTTTTTGGGATCTAGAGCCATCTACCTGGCTTATGGCTGGAGGGACTCTCCTCCTAATGCCCTCTACTCTTCTCTTTGTCGTTTGCTGCAGCAGATGACACGAAGTCAGCAGATGGATGAGCTCCTGGACGTGCTGATTGAGAGTGGAGGTATGCACTGCTTCACTGTTCCCCTCCAGGGCTCCCCCTCCCAGCCAGCATTGGTCCCTGAGGCTCAGTGCATTCTGTGCACCCCAGCAGAGCTGCCTGAGTTGAACATAGCTTTCATCAGCCCTCCTGTGCCAGCTGCCACTGAGATTGAATCCAAAGGCATATTAGCCCTCCCAGAGCCTGTTCCTGTGTGTGCCATCCCGGTGGGGTGGTCTGGGCTTGGCTGTCACCTGTGCAGACTGTGCAGAGAGAAGGGGCAGCAGGGCAACAGCCTGTGCTCAGCACTGCCAGCCCCCTCCCCACACAGAGCCCCCAGTGTCCCCCACCATTCCCAGTGCTGCCAGTGCCATCTCCCATGTACAGTACTGCTGGTGCCCTCCCCTGTGCCCTATCCCAGCCCCTTGGGGACAGCTGGCAGTGCTTGTGCCCTAGGGACTGTGTGCAAACCCAGGGGATCAAGGTCAGAAAGCAGGAATGTGTGTGGCAGGGGGTGGGTGAGCAGTGCCAAGGGGGGTCGAGTGGGGAGCAGGTCTCCAGAGGGAAGCCCAAGAGTCCAGGTGGGGGGCTGTAGTGGTGCCTCTGTGCCCAGCAGTGGTGGGCACTGCCAGGGCACCTCAAATCCCTCTCATCTGTTGACAGAAATGCCAGCCACTGCCAAGGAAGATCGGTCCTGCCTCCAGAAAGTACCTCAGATAACGGTGTCTCCAGGGAGCACTGGTGCCTCTCTCCCCAAGCCCCCAGCCCCCTTCGAGCAGGTCCCCCCCACACCGCTGCCCTTCGAGCACTGCCCGGGCAGCAGCGACGCCCACCTCGAGGTGCTGCTGAACAGCCCCCTGGGCAGGGTCAGCGACATGGCCCTGCTGAAGATGGGGACAGAGGAGCCCCACTTTGAGGGGATGATGGAGGGGTTCTCTGGCAAAGCCGCAGATGAACTGCTCAACTCCCAGGAGATTTTACAGACTCCCCTCTCACCCATGGAAACCCAGCTCTCCCCTTCCCCTGCTGAAGGCTCCAGTTTACAAATGAGTTTCACTGAGTCTCCATGGGAAACGATGGAGTGGCTGGACCTCACCCCCCCCAGCTCTGCCACCGGCTTCGGGTCACTCACCCCCGTGGGTCCCAGCATCTTCAACATCGATTTCCTGGATGTTACCGACCTCAACCTGAACACCAGCATGGACCTGCACCTGCAGCAGTGGTGAAGGGAGGTGCTGGGGGTGGATGCTGTGAGCCTGCAGCAGGCAGTGCAGTGTTTCCGTTGTGCCGGAGAACATGCAGGGCTAACGTGCCTCATCCAGGGGAAACTGGAGTCATTTTCCCAGCATATAAACTTGTTTGAATTTCCAGTCACTGCAAATTGACAGCACAACTCTGGTACTTTGGTTTTCCTCCATTGACACATCCCCACAGAGGACACCAGTGCCTGAAACAAAACTTCCTTTGATTGTCAAGAACTTCAGTTTTCTTTCTTTAGTCTTTCCCCCCCCAGTTTTAGTAGTCACTCTCATGAGAACTGGAGCAGCTCATGACAAGACTGCGTGGTGAGATGACCTCACCTGGGTGGTAACAGGAAATCACGGAGCAAAGAGCCCAATGTTGCCCTCTCCAAACCTCTCCTCTCCGACCCTCTCCGACCCTCTTCCTCTCCTTCTCCCTCTCCCTCTCCTTCTCCCTCTCCCTCTCCCTCTCCCTCTCTATCCAAACTCTTCAGACAACCCTGCTGGCCTCACCTTGGCTGTGCCCAGGCCATGGGTGTGGAGCAGGAGGCTCTGCCCAGCCTTGTCTCTTGCCTTGGCTCCTGCTTCCCTCCTCCTGCCCCGAAGCCGCAGTGCCCAGTCCCTGCCCAGCTCTGCTCAAGGGGGATGAGAGATGGAGACCACCATGTTCATGGTGGCACCTTGGCATGTCCTGAGGGGCAAAAAGCCCAGGAGCCATCATGGCTGCAGTCTGATCTGGATCAGGCTGTGACCTTGGAGCAGGGAGCTGTGGAGGTTGGAGGCAGGTGTTCAGGAGGCGGGTGCAGGTATCACAGGGATGTGCCATCCCGGTGGAGCGGCTGTGTGCCACATCCACGGGACACACAGACATGTGTGATGTGTTTTGGTCCAAGGTAGGAGCAAATGGTATGAAAGAACCAGCTGGGCTTTGGAGGGGCTGTTCTGTGCACAGCCAGGTCAGGGTGATCTTCATTCCCCGCCTGATCCAGGAGCAGGGGGAGCCAGACAGGGACATTCAGTGACCGGCACATGGAGCAGGGCTGCGGGTCTGTGTGAACCTCTGCTTGTGCTGCCTCCCCTCCTCTGCCATCCACCCTCCATCCTTCTTCCCATTCCTCAGTCCTCAGCAGTCATCCCCTTCTTCCTGAGTTTACTCGAGTGTCACTGCTCCCCCAGCCCAGAGCAAGGCTACCGGAGAACAGCTGTGAATCACCGAGCCTGGAGGAGCCCGTTCTCCCGAAGCCGGCAGAGAAGGAAGCTCTCCCGCAGTGATGCTCCCATTTGGAATCACCAGCATGTCTCCTATGAGTCTCTGTGCAATATTCTTCCTCAGGCTCTAGCAAGAAGGAGCCTTTGCTTCACTTCTTCGCTTCCACCAAAGAACTTGCTGCAGACTGTGTGACGGACACGTCTGTTCTTTGCAATTCTGGTTTTGCCGAAGTAAATATTGTTGCTGACAAAGATTGTTAAACTATTTACAGACTGAGTGTATTTAATATTTGTGTTACTGGAAGGACAGCACACGGAGATGCAGCCACTGGGAGGAGGTCCAGCCTGGCCATGGCTCCCGTGGCACTTCCCCAGGGTGCTGGAGCTGTCGGAGGCGGCTCTGCAGCCCCGGTGGGTCCCCAGTCCATGGTGTTGTTGCATGCTGTATAAAGCACGTGGCAGTAGCTTTCAAATCACTATTTAAAGCACCACTTTTCTACTGTACAAATGTCACAGGGCACTGCTAGGATAGACAATCACAGGTTGCCTTTTTTTAAAAAGAATTTCTTTTTCTAAGTGAGAGATTTTTAGAAGCCAGTCTGTGGAGAATATTCAGAGCACTTGACCCAGAGTAGTGTTAGCTGCTCCACTGCAGCCTTGTACAGGGCTTTCCAGGTAACTTTCTCCTCTCAGCAAATGTATTTCCTTATTTAAAGGGATGCTGTCAGCTTCAAACCTGTAAGCAAGCACATTTCCTTACCTATGTTACCAGCAACACTTTCATTATTAAAACCCTTGTCTTGCCACTCTGTCTACTCGCAGTTTGCTGTTTGATTTCACCACTGGGATGGCCACAGCCATCCCAGCTGCCACCATCTGGTGCCAGCTTCATGCCCTGGGACAGCTACAGTCCTTCAAGGGCAGAAGTATTTCCTTCACAGCTGTGGTTTCTCCTGGAAGATTCCTGAACACACCAGCCGGAGTCTCTTGTTTCTGCTGGCTCTTTCTTCTATTGGCTCTGATTTTGCTTTGTTTTCCTGCAGACCCCACTTCTCTGGTCAGGGTCCCCTTCAAAGGCAGTGGCTGGCACCCTGCCCAAGCCCCTTGGCATTTCTGCCAGCACTGGGCCTGCAGCCAAACCTCCTGCTGCCCTCAGGCAGAGCAGACTGGGACCGTGGCTCCTTCTCCCCAGGAGGACCTTGGCTCCTTCTCCCTGCTACCCCTGTGTCTGTTCCAGATCCATTGCATTTTCCTTTGATTAGAAAAGATTCCCCAGGTATTTGCCCACCTGTGTGCAGGGGGGAACTACCCAGGTGGGGCACAGGTAGGCTGAAGCTGGAATGGTCCTGAGACATGGCTCAAGTGAATATGAAAAGATGTAGATGAACAAATAACCAGTCCCCATGAACATCTTTTAAGCTTTAATCCACATCCTGCAGCCAGCTGTGCTGTGATAAACTGCCTGGGCTGAGCCAGGTCATGGTTACTCAGAGAATGAGGAGACGAGACTCAGCCTAGGATTGTTCCAGGAATAGTGATGCACTGGAGCACTCCCCTGCCCTGCTGAGGAGAGCCTGCCTGTGCTGCTGCATCTGCAGCAGAGCAGCTGGGAGCCTGTGCTGCCAGTGCCCCCTTGTAAAAGGCAAAAAGCAGAGTGAGTGGCCCAGGGAGTCACAGCTCTGAAGTGCAGGAAAGATGCTTCAGGTGCCAAAGTTTGGAGCAGCGCTTCTGGGGCGGCTGAGTCCAGACCACGGACCTGCTGCGGGCAGTGGGAGGGATCAGAGGGTCTCCTGAGGTCTCCTTCCAGGCCCCAAACAATCCCAGCAGCAAGTCCTGCATGAAGAAGAGCTCAGCCCAGCTCTGCCCCAGCCAGTGGCCCTCCAGCCCCACCAGAGCAGCCTCCTGGGAAAGCACAGTCTGTGACACTGGGATGGGACAAGCTCTCTCCTCACGTTGCCTTAGGTCAGTTCACACTCAGTCTTCCATGTGTAGGTGATTTTCCCACACAGGTTGTCCCAAGGAATTTAGGGTTCTGGGATTTTCCTTCCTCTCAGTACCAAGCTGAATGATCCCAGTGATGTCTCACTGTCTCTGGGCCTTCCTTCCTGAAAAATAGAGGAAATACAAAGCAAAACAAACAAACAAAGTTCCAAGTGTCAAATTAACATTTTTCATGCCTGTATGAGTTTTTTAAAATGTGAGCTGCCTGGCTCAGTGTTTCCATCCAGTGTTTCCTCCACAACAGACACTGACACATCCACAGTATCTCTCCACCAGCTCCCAGGTCAAGATAGACCATGGTTAAAGCACAGTTTCCCTCTCCAGTGACACGGGGAAACAATATCTGTTTCTCAGCCCTTCTGCCCTGGTGGGGTGGGATGAGGGGGCAGCATAAGTAGGAACTTACATGTGCCCATCACAGAACCCTGCACATGGAGGGGACCAAAAGCCCCAGAGCCCAGTGCCACAGCTGAAGTGCATTCCACCACCCCATCACCCTGTGACACCTCCTCACCCTGTGACATCCACAGCAGCACCCTCAGGACCCCTTGCTGCACCCCAGTGCCACCTCCACACCCCCAGCACCCCCAGCCCAGTCCTCAGGGCCCCTCAGGCTCCTCTTGTGCAGCCCTGGCACCTCACCACCCACCCAGAGCCACCACTGCCAGCGGGTGCAGCCCCTCATACCTGCTCAGCACCCCCCTCCCCAAGCACACTGCCACCCTCCACCCATCCAGATCCCTCTGCTCATCCCTGGCCAGCTCCCCCAGAGCCTCTGTCCCCCCCAGACTCACTGGGGAGGAGAACTGGGGACACACCAGGGCCACTCCTCACCCATGCATGGACCTCTGCACCCTCAACTTGCTGTCACCCCCCTGTCTGCAGCACCTGAGGCCACCTGAGGCTGTGCAGGATGGGCAGAGGGTCTCAGGGGGCTTCAGCAAATTCTGGTTTTAAAGCCCAGACAGTTCACTCTGGAGCACTGGCAGGGACCCAGCTGTATGGCCAGGGGTTTTTAGACCCTAAGAGCTACCTGCACACCTTGGCTCACACACAGGAGGATGATATGTCCTTCACAGAGTTTTGGGTTTTTTATGTCACAGCACTCCCACCCTCAAATTTCTAGCAACTCGTTGCATGCGAGTTAGGAACTAAGTTCCTTGTATTCCTACCAATTCCTTGCCCTCAACATTTTGTTGCAGATGAAAGGAAACATGTTTTTATACAAATCCATGAATTTATTGGTAGTTTCATTAACGTATTAAGCATGGAACTAAAGAATTAGGTTTACTTAGTTCAAATGACCACCAGAAGTTAACATACACCAGAAGTGTTACATACAGTTAAAATCAGCGCTCACAGACATACTTGTGCTCCCCTTTTCCTGGAGGCTCTACTCACCTTCCACTGCCTCTCTGGGGCTTTCAGAGTGGAGGAGGGTGTGGGGTGTCGTAGCACAAGGCAGCAGCCTCAGCCTTTGCCAGGAGAAGCACAGATGTCCATGGGTTTTCCCTCCTCACTCTGCAGTAGCTGAGGAAACCAAGGTTTTTACACCTTTGCAAACACACTCATCCTTCCTTGGTTTGTAACCAACCCCACATTACACCTGAATTCCTGTATCTGTGATTTCCTTCTGCCAGAGGCTTGTTTTTGTTCTCTTTGTTTAAGGATGGTTTTACCCTACCCCCAAATCCCATCCCTTTGACAACCAGTGACCACTGCTGAGGTGTTTATAGCCTCAAGAACCCTGTGCCTGTTCCTGCAGCCCCTGCTGTCACACCCTGTCCTCCAAAGCCCATTCCACTCCAGCTGCATAGAGGATATTTATACACAGCAGAACTACTCAGTATTACTGGTTATTAGTTGAAAAATTTATACCAAAGCAGCAGCAGCAGCAGCAGCAATGCATTTACTGGGCTTCAAAGCAGCAGCAGCAGAGGACTCCAGAGGAGGCCCAGGAGCATCTCCAGCACTGCTCACCTGGGGATAACATGTTCTCCAGGGACACACGAATCTCTCCTACCCAAATAACCTCTCCCTGGTGCCACCTTCAGTCAGCACCTGCCAGGTGGCTCTACCCCCCCTCTGGAAATGTTCTGGCATCCAGGTCACACGTTGGTGCTGTGATCTCACGAAAAAGGTGGCTTCAGTCACACTGACATTTCTTCAGGAAGCAGGAACTGGCTGGATTTCAAGGTGGTTTCCACCAACCCCTTGAAATTAGGATCAGGTTCAAATGTCTTCAGGAACACTCTGATGTGCAGTTGCAGGATCTGAATCCTTCTGTCCTCCCTTCTTACTTAGTTCCCTCCTGCTTTTCCAGCTCAAGCCTGGGTGCAGAGGGAAAAAGAAAGAAACACAGGATGCTGGTGCAGGGAACCAGATCAGCTGTGGGCTGCATTATGCAGAGGGTTGACCTATGACATCCCACCATTCACCAGCATGAAGGGTCTTGAGGGGAAGCCATACAAGGAGTGGCTGAGGGAGCTGGGCTTGTTCAGCCTGGAGAAGAGGAGACTGAGGGGAAACCTCACTGGAGTCTGCAGCTTCCTCTCAAGGGGATACTCACAAACTGGAGGGCTCATCAATGGGTTCTGACAATGTCTGCAGGGCCTCATGATGAAGCTCTTTCTTCTCAAAAAGCTGCAACAGCCTCTCAAGACAGATCACCTGGAATCAGTCCATCCAGAGCTGTCAGGGTAGGAGCTGTGCTGTAGTAGGTGGGTTGCTAGCCCATTCTGAACCTGGTGAGAAACCTGTTTTCCTTCGAAGCTTGGGCAGGATCTCCCCCTCTTCTCAAATAATCTGATTGAACATGACCTGCACTGCCACATTGGCTGCCTTCACCTCCACCCAATGAGCTGCTCTCTCCTGTCTGGCCAAGGCAGAACTGCCTCCATGGTCAGACAGCAAAGCAAATTTTTTCCCGGAGGCACAGAGGGAATTGAGGCATCTGAATTTTGCTGGCCCTCATTTTCTTCTTGACTTTCTATCTGTGAGAACCGACTTTGTTGAGTATGGGCCAAGTCTAGGAAAAGGAGGTACAGAGCAGAAGTGCTTTGGTCAGGACAACAGGGCGTGACTGCCAGGGAGCCAGAGCAGGTGTCTGGTGTCCAACGAGGTGCTGGGCTCACACAAAGCACTGTCTCTGATGGTTTTCAGTGTAGCTCTGGTGTCTGCACTCACAGGCACAGACACCCCCACAGATATGACAGACTTTACCACACACACCCTTGCCAACCAGCACTCCTCAGGTGTGAGCAGCTCCTTCCTGCACACACCAACCCCTTTCAGCCCTCCAGACCCTGCCTGCCTGTGCTTTTGGGACTGTTGACACAGCTTCACCTGCAGAGTGACAGCCCTGCACTCAGCTCTGCTGCAGATGAGCAGGGATTTGCTGTCTGGGCATGTGTGGTAGTTTGGCCTAGGCCTTCCTTGGTGACCAGCTTGTAACCAAGGAAGTGCCCAGATTTACCCGGTATTCCCTGCGATTTTTACGTAAACTGGGGTATAAGAAGAAGGGAAGAAAAGCCTTTGCTCTCTTTCCTTCCAGTGGCTTTGGAGGTGCAAGTTTCCCTGCTGTTGAGTCTGTCGGGTTGGGGAGTGAGGCCTGGTAAGGCCTTGTCGACCTTGGGAGGCGGAGGCTGCCGGCAGTCGCTCCAATGGGACTCTCTCTTGTCCCAAGGAGAGTAGTAAGATATTCTCTGCTAATTCTTTTAGTTAATAGACCTTGGGCTACTGATCGGGATATATATATATATATAATTTTGGTTTTTGTTTTTCCCTTCCTCTTTCCCTTTTCCCTGTGAA